GTGAAAAGTAACAGTGCATATACTGAAAAAAGGAGTGAACAACAAATAAATAGCTGCTTACTCGCCTCTGCTCTCAAAAATCATCCAATAGAAGCGTTATAACATTACTGCGATTGGTAGCACGTAGCACTCACGTGCGTGGATTCGAAAGTGTTAATGCCAGGATAAGATACAGGACATACACTACTAATCTGAGGTAGAGAGCATAAATTTTAACTTAAATAAATTAACAATATGATTAAAAATTGCAGCCCGGCATTGTGACGACGTCACAATAAATAATTGCTCGTTCCAAAATATATCATTGTTGCAGTAATTAAGTGAATATAAATAATATTTGCTTTTTAAATTATATTTTTCTTTGTATGAATTTAATTTAATTATTTTAAAAATTATTTGCCAATAGATGGCGCTACATGTACCGGTAGCAAGTCAGATGTAGGCCGAAATTAATTGATAATAATGAAATTAATTCAATATTTTTTGGAACTGTATAGCTTAATGTCGATTCTAGAGTCTAAGTAATGCTCATACAAACTTTGGTCCAAATCAGTTTAAGAATAAAGTTTTGTGTAAAGGACAAACCAACATTTTTATATACAGTATACAGATTAAGTAGCGACGTGTGCCCAGCGTACTCAGGTTTTTGAGGGGTGTGGAATTGATAAAGTGTGATAAAAACAATGGCCATAGTAACTAAAATGTGCAATTATTGGCCTGAGTATTTATAACAATGAAACTAAAAAACTCTCCTGTAGACAGACCCTGATATTCGTCGAAAGGGATAACTTTTTAATGTGATTCTATAGTGATGATGCCTTTAGGCATGCATTAAGTTATTTGGCGGTATTGTCACAATCTATTACCAACAATCCGAAAATCAAAAATATATCAACAAACCAACAACAATTAGCATTTATTTTTTGCTAACAGATGGCGCTATATGAAAAGGATGCAGAATATACCCCATGACACTTTAAGCCAGAAAACTGCGCATCCGCAGGAAATACAGTACCTAATACAGATACTAGACTGGATGGCCGACCCTTCAAGGTGGCAGCCTACCGTTCTGGGGGATCGAATCCAGGTGGGTCAAGGAACCCCCAGAAATTTTTCGGGGAGTGGTCCATTTGGATATGTCAAGCCCCGTCCCTCACCACCCGGTTGCCCCCATTGTGGGCCTGGCCGAACCCATAATGGACCTGCTATAAGAAACCCTCTTAGTGCCCACAGGGCAGAAAGAGTATTAAAAAAAAAAAAAAGATACTATCTGATAACATTCATTGTAGGCCTGGATGAACCCATGATGAACACTGGAAAAGGCATTCTTAGTGCTTACAAAATTGAATCATATTTATAGGGAAAAAATCAATAAAGACAAGACACTTTTAAAGATTCAAATTTAATAAACAAATATTTTTGTGATGTACATTATCAAAATTCTAGAAAAAACCTTACATAAGTGTTATGTGACAACATGTAGAAAATTAACTTTTCAAAAAATTCTCAATATGGTTGTTAACTGTTTCAGGTCTCTCGTGATGTACCCAATGACCAGCACCTTCTATCATTTCTATTTTCAAATTGTTGCAATGTTTTATAGAAGCTTTAACCAAATCTGTTGATAATGCTATGTCACGATCACCCCAAACTATTAAAGTTGGGGTATCCACTTTACCTTTGCCAGTTAGGTCTTTTTCATTTTTATCTACAGTTTTTAAATTTGCTCTATAATAATTTAAAGGAGGAGTAAGTGCACCTGAAAGTATAAAAATTAGTTAGAGAATTTGTATGATTTTCTCAGATTCTCACATTAATGTATATACGCAACTACACACTTATATGGGTGGCCCCAAAGTCAATTAACTGTTTGTGATTTTCACATAAACTTTGCAACTGAATCACAAATTAAATTTGTTAAAGTGTAGCATGTAATAAGACAGCAATTTAGTCATTATAATGGCTAACTAACTTTTATGCCATCCTGTAATATAAGTTTATAATATTATAAATATATTAAAAACTTACCTGGTTGGGAGAACACGTGTTTATAGCATTCCAGTTCTTCATCAGTGCAACGGTTTTTGTTTTTTCCCTGATATATCTTTGATAAAGTAGATAAATTGTTGGCTCGAATATAAATCTCGGGTAGAAATGGTAATTGAAAGAAGTACATATACCTGTTGATGTAAATAATAATGAATACACATAATATATAATTTGAAAATATAAGAGTATCTTTTGCAAACAAATTTTGATGTAAAAATTCACATAGCAATAATACAATAAAGTCTGTTTGGCTAGAATCCTGTACACAAAAGGACCATACAATTTAATCTCTCTTGTAAAATCATGATAGGAAACAAGTGTTGAAAATATTTTGCTTTAAGGGAATAAAATAAATACATTAAATGAACTAACTAACCAATTGATTTACTAACCAAGAAGAAAGATTAAAGCAAATCCAGCAGATACCCTCTTAGTGTCCAAAGGACAGAGTTTAAAAAAAATCTCAAGAAGGGCAATTGCTTCTCCTCGCCTTCCTTGTGGATGGCTTTAATGCAGAAGTCATAAGCAATGATGATGTTCCATATTTATGATGGTCCACACCTCATCTTAAATGTCTATCTTAACCCCTATGGACTCCTATCTTAAATCCTATTCCATATATATAAGGTTCAAATGAACATTTTAATAAACCTTATAACTATGACAGAGGAATCTGATTCTCAATGAGATCACCCAGAATGAATGAAGAATAGGAACAATGTACAAACACATGCTATTGTGAAAAACTGAGAATATCCAAATCAAATTGAATCTGAATTGATAAAATAACGCATTAAAACAATATTAAAGCTACACTTATTTACATAACACACTTACCAGCTCATAAGAAATTGTTTCAAGCTTCTTCTTACAACAGAAGAAAAAGCTCTTGGATGAGGACTATTGATGATAATTAATTTCTTAACTTTCTCAGGATGCAAAATGGCAAGATACCAAGCTATTATGCCACCCCAATCGTGACCAATAACTATAGCTGAATCTCTTCCTATAATCAGTCAATTATTGTATTGGTTAGTCTAACAAATAGTGAAATTTAAATACATCAACTTACCAAAAGATGTAATAAGTTCGTTGGCATCTTCGTATAATTCTTTAATTAGGTAAGCTTTCACATCTGAAGGATGATCAGATTCTCCATATCCTCTCAAATCTACAGCTACCACCCTAAAAAACCATTGTTTAGCTAATTACTTATGATAAAAAACAGATGAATTGTATTTATTTAACTGATCTTACCAATATTTTTGAGCCAATCTAGGGATCTGATGTCTCCAACTGTACCAAAAATCTGGAAAGCCATGCAGGAGTAATACTAATGGTTTATTTCTATCTCCAGCTTCCACATAATGGAGACGTAAGCCCTATATTAATAAAGTACTATACAATACACTGTGCTTTTGTGATTTTGTTATGTATTTACAACAAAACTCCTAAAATAGCATTTACTTATTCACAAAATCAAATGTTACTGTCATATTAATTTATTACATAGCGAGTCGTATTAATGACTCGCTATGACATTAATATATTAATGTCATAGCAAGTCATTTATTATGAAATATTGTGACTTGTTTTTAAGTAAATCAATATAAATTAGCATAAATAAATGCTCTCTGTATATCTTATAACACTCTTTAGACAATTCTTCTATATACAGTAACTAGATTTGATAACGTATTGTTGGGTTTTTGTTTCTATTGTTTCTAATTTTCATCACTGTGCGCGATAAAAATGAATGAGATGAAATTGTAACAAAACTGAGTTTATTGCCTTCTCGCATATATGGTACATGTCTCAATAACGGGTTGAGTTTGAACTTGTTCCAGGAAGTGATGACTCATACCACCGGGGTTCATTTCTTGTTTTTCACGACGGTTAAGATGTGAAGGGTGGAGTTTGCCACAATATATCCAGTTAGATCTTAACTCATTTTCTGGTTACCTCTCATTTTAGTTTTATTCAAGTTTACATGAAAA